CTTTCGTGTCATGTTTTCTGTAAAGTCTGCAAACAGCTGCAGACTCTTGCATATTTGACCTTGTGCAGGCGTTTGTTTGCAAAGGGTAAAGTCAAATTATCAAGATTGATGCTGGGAATATGTGAGGCAGGAATAAAAACAAGATGGAAGCTAAAATGAGGAAGTGGCAGTGAAGAAAGAGCAGCAAATCTGTAAACGATATAAATGAATGCTAACATGAAGGTAAACGAGAGGGGAGAGTAAAGGATGAAAGTTCTTTTTAATCTTCCAAAGGTAGCTTTGATTTGGATTAGCATGTGATGTTACTATGAAGGAGCGATGACCTTTCCACCTTTATCTGCCTCATTGTCAGGCCGTCGCTCAGCTTGTGAGGCATTTAGCTTGTTTTGATGGCTGACTCGCTGTGACGGCGGAGGGAAGTCTTTCTGTAGGACCGAGCTGCAGAGGAGCGAGCGGGAGGCTGCACTGTGTGGCGCTTTCAGTCTTCAGTTCCTCCCAGCCCATGATCATAGCAGCACTGAGTTGAGGCGAGTTGAAGACTTCAAGCGCTGTACAGATTCACGAGCCGGACCTCCGCTGTTGTCTTATTGACTAATAAAATGTTTTTGTTAGTTTTAAAGCAATCTCTCTGCAAAAGAACATGAAAGTCAGTATTTGTTATATGATGTAAACTGTGCATACTGTATGTTGTCTAATTTTATGCTGTTCTCATCTCAGGACTACTGGATTCAAAAACAAAATTCTTTATTTTATCTAAGCATTTTTCTTTTCCAGTGACACATTTAAGTGTTTAATGATTACATGAATTATTTAGTGAATCCCAAACAAAAACTCAAAGCAGTCCGCACCTTTTTGTCCAGAAGAACTTGTGAGAAATTCATGACTTAAAAAAAATATATATATATATATATATATATATATATATATATATGTATGTATATATAAATTGATGATGTCTGCAATATCAAGATGTATTCGAACATCCGATCAGATTAGCAATCTTTGTTTCCTAAGGAACTTGATGATGTTTCCAATTTAAGGTGGCACCAAATATGTAGATTATTCACAGTTTCTATTATAAATATTACAATTTGAATTTTAAAAATTAAATAATCTCACTGTTTAGGTCACAAGTGCCCATGCTAAATATTCAGTGATCATGTTTTTGTTTTTCATGTAAGTAAATAAACATTTGGAAAAGTTATTCTCAAGATCATAGATAACATTTAAAAATGTCTTTGTTTTTGTCTATTCATTGTAATGCAAGTATTTTGGATTTAAAATGTTGAACCTGGTTGTCTAGAAGGTGTTTTGGTTTGTTTTTAATTTTAAATAGGACTTTTAATGGAAACCTTTGTCCTTTGTCAACCTCTAAATATATACGATATATATATTTTTAAAAAGCAGGAAGGCAATGGAGAGAATGAGGAAGAAGACAATGATTACACTTTTGGCTTTGACTAATTTTTATGGGATTCATGCAAAATAAATACTTAATCTTTTCCTCAGGGTAAATTTGAGAAGTTTGAGTAGAACATTGCTGCAGAGTGGTGTAGGCGGTTAACATTGTTCTGGGTTTGACACCAGGTTAAGGGGCTTCCTGTGCACCTCTCTGTACACAGGTGCCTATTTTTGGGGGTGCTCAAGCACTCCTAAAATTTTAACTCAGCACTCCTGAAAAGTTTAGAACCCATCATTAGGATTTTGTAAGGAAACTCAGTTCTCAAACCTTAGATTCACCAAAATATTGAATATATTTGAAATAAATATGGAATAAATGATGACAGTCAAATGGGCCAGTAAAATTTATAATTTTTTTGTAGTTGCTTGAATCGAAGCCTTGACGCCTCCTGTCAATCAGTCCAATATAGGCATGTCAGCAACTGACCAATCAGTGACCTCAGTTTGTTCTGAAGTGAACGCCCTTTACCTGCAGCCCAGTATTCCTCTAACAACATTATCAGGGTTTTGCACGTACGCTTTGTGGTCAGAGGCATTTCATCCAAAATCATTGGAAAAATTGGTTAAACGTTGTCAGTGGGAAACATGCGGTTCAGACATGTGTTACCCCGAGTATTTAGAAGGTGGAATACAGTTTATTACTTTTCAAAAACTAAACAAGAAGTACAACCTGTCCGTCTATATGAAGGTAACTGCAGGTCAATCCTCCATTTTCTGTCATAGTTACATTGCATGCTTAATGGTTAAATTAAAGGTTAATGCTTAAAACTAGTTGTGCTTTGTTTGGTGTGTTTTATATGTAGATATATGTTGTAACTTCTGGTTGCCAAAGTTAAGTCTTTGTTTGTTATGATCAGTTAACACTACACTGATTTTGTACAGTGTTTAATAGGTTATGTAAAATTTACACTCTTACATACTGTATTTCACCGAGAGTTCTTGCCCTGTGTCACTCTGTGACATGAAAACATCTACTGCAGTAACTATTTTAAGTTATTAGTACTTAGAATTTTATTTGCTCGTCTTATTTGCCTTAATGTTGGCTGAAAAGGCAGAAATGCCTCATTAAATGCCTCAGGTAACGCCATGAGCTTCACTGCCTCCACTATTACAGCTATCTTGTTTGTTTGTTTGTCCAAAGGCTAATGGCAAGAAGGCGTGATTATTATCGTTTTATATTGGCTAGTAATTTTTTTCTCTAAAACTTAACTTAGGCTACACTGTGTTTCTTGGACTGTGGCTAGGATGCATGAGAGAAACAGAGCATGCTCTATTCACACAAGGAGAGCTGTTGGTCAGGTTACGTCTTGTTGTGCCAGTAACTCTAAAATAGTTACTGAATCAAGAGTTTACTTGTGTATGTAAAACCTGTTAAAATACACCAGAATGCAGGAAATGGCATCTACTTTATTCAAAATTTTCTGGGGGAGGACCCTCCCAGACACACCCACCAGTGTCTCAAACTGAACTAAACTGCCTAAACTACTGTTTAAACTGCAAATTAATTAGACCAATAACATTTTTTCTTGACCGTTTTGTTATGTAACTCAGTGAGTGACAGGTGTCCAGCCAATGACACGATGTGGCTGTTGCTCACAGTGGTCCTCGATGTGCTCAGGGAGCTTGTGTGTTTGCCCAGACACATGAAAAATTAGAGGGAACATTGGATTGTTAACTAAATTTCCCTTGATGTAAATAAAAGTGTAAATAGTTGTTTGTCTTTAAGTTGTCCACTCTATGTTAAATAGGCAGATTCTAAATGAATTCCCTTCAGTTTTCCAGCACGTTTAAAGATGTTCACATCGGTTCTGAGCTCCCATTAGTTGAGGTTAGATATGATTCATATCAGGATGGACAGCTGATGCACTTCTTGTTGTGTTTTGGTTAAACTGACTCCAGATCTGTTTTACTTCTTTGTCCTGCTGAACATTAGCAGGGCTGGTCACTCTCTGAGAGACTAACCAGTTCAATTTCTCGACTCGAGCGTAATCTTAGCTCCACCTCGGTGCTTCCTGCAGGGAGTCTCACTTAACAGTGCCATCTGTTCACCCCTTCATGTCCGAGCACTTTTCTCCCCTTGGTCTCCCCCAGCAGTAATCTAATTCTCACACTCTCCTCTGAACAGCTGATGCTGTGATGAGATGCTGCTTGAACCTGATGATGGCTCTAAAATGAGCTGCTGGTAATTAACAGCTATAAGCACATTGACAACAGACAAAGATGGGGGGGTGGGGGTCTGCTTGACTCTCAGCCAACTTCTTGAAGGATGAATCAGCTCCTAAAATGCACCTTCAGGAGAGATGAAGCTTACTGGAGGGACAGGAATGGCGATGAACAGATGTGTGCTCACCTGTGTAATTTTTGGAGCAAAGTGATGCATGATATAGCCATAGACCATCAGAGTAACAGTTCAGATCTTTTCAAGTGGATTTAAGAGTTTTGAACCTCATTTAGGATAAATAGTTTAATTCTGGCCAGACTGGTGAGCTTACACTTAGTTTGAGCATTCTACAACAGGTAAGACAATAACTATTCACAATCTGCAGAACTATTAAAAAAAAATAACAACAGAACTCTTACTTTAATGCTTTACTCAAGCCTTTGCTTCGTTTCAAATAGGAGAGACTGTGAAAATATGAGGACATACTGATAGAAACGTTCAAAGAAGGTTTGTTTTTATTCATGGTCATGTTGTTACTGCAAAAACAATGTAGTAAAAAAGACTGTTGGCAACAAATTGATATCCAATCACAAGTGGAGATACCTTTTAATCTCTGACACATTTTGATCTATCCACTTTTGACTGAACTGAATTGGATTGAAACAAGGTTCAAACAAGCTCTTTGTGTAGTGACCTCACGTTTCTTTGTCTTTTCTTTGTATATTTTGGTCAAAGTATTTAAAAAAAACTGCCATCAGGGAGAAATGAGACAAATTTGAAGACCTGCTTGTGTTTTAAGGGGCAAATGCACAGATGCAAATCTTTATTTTAAGGTAAACATTATGCTCAATTTGAAGTAAATGTGGTTTTGGAAACAATTTGATGAAGGGTCAGGGGTCTGCCAGTGTTTTGTTTGTTGCAGTACGTCTGCAGCACCATGGGGAAATGTAGTAGACTTTAAGTATACGTGTGGAACTGGAGAGTATACTAAGTACACTACGTTTATCCAGGGGTAGCCTGCAGGTCTACAAACATGGAGAAAAGAAGAAACAGATGTATTTTTTTGGAAAAGTTCTGTTAATTACAGCTTTTTACCTGTACATATTCTTACACCTCTGACCATCAGGCGTTTACTTGAAGTTTTTTTTACAAGTTAATTATTTGTGTGTTGTATTTTGGGCAGTGACTGATAGATTTGGAGTATTTTTTGTCCACAGCTACATCAGTTATCAATTTAATTTCTTTGTCACCATAAATCACTGTTTATTAGATGCTGCTGTGCTGTTGAAGATCTTTACAAAATGTAACTTCACTTTATTTAAAAGTTTTTAAACCCTATCATATCTTCCAACTGCTGCCGTTTGTCTATGTTGTGCAGTTCTCCAGATGCTTCTGGGCGTTTATCTGCTGCTCCAGTGCCGAGCGAGGCTCCAGACAAACATTTTCACGGATGACAAAGACGTTGCGCACCGTCCGCAAGGAGAAAGACCTTCATGTGACCGTCCCTGCCCTGTCCACAGCCGTGCCCACGTCCAACTCTGTCCACGGTTCTTTGCAGGCAGCCAGTCACGTGGCTGCTTCTTCAACAAACCGAGCAGACGCTGCCTCTGAGGAGCCTGCTGCCGTCGACCGTACAACTAAAGTGATTCTGGTGGCTTACTACAGGGAATAAACAGAAGCTAAACATTTAGAAATGAGAGAAAGAATAAGGGGAGCAGGACTCCCACTCACAAATCATTTTTAATAGCAGAGATGTGAGCTCAGATGGACTCTTCAACACAAGTTGAGACAGAGGACGATTGTTTCATAATCTTGACAAATGAGAAATTAAAAGATTTCAAGGGGTTTGTTTAAATCAAAAGGAAAATATGAACATCAGGGCTACATATAAAACTGTGTTGGCATCAGTTGTACCACTTTTCTAATGACAATGTTAAATATTCACCAAAGCACAAAGGCACATTAAAATGGATGTGTTCACTGAGGGGTTCATCCCAGATTTACAACCAATAATGTCATCAGGACAGCTGTTTGTTTCATGCAGAAGAGCCGTTTAGTTTACTTTGAAGGAAAAGATCAGGACTGAGTCCGAACAAGGCGAGTCAAGAAGAGGGGCCTTGATGCACATTTCAACAAATGCACAATTTAGGTCAGAACGTGGAAACATTTTGTTTAAAATATCAAAGTTCATGCTCAATAATCTAGGTTAAAAATATCCATCAGAGTTCAGTTAGATCATCTGGACAGTTTATTTTTTTGTTGAGACGTTTCGTCCTTCATCCACAGAACTTCATCAGTCCGAGGAGCCACAACAAACTCAGTCTCACAAGCAGCACACTCCCATATATAGTGGACAAAACCAGTTTTATGATTATAAGACGGTTTCTGTAGCCCGCCCTCTCCCCCTGTTGACTCCTCTGAGGCAGCCATAGCTAATGTGGTTCAAAATTAAACGTCTTTAAAAAAAGAGAGAGAAATCGTCCAGATGACCTGACTGAACTTTGTTGGATTTTGTTTAAAATGTTTCAAACAAAGTTATGCTTAGTTTTAGACTAAAAGTTTTACAATTATTATCTAACTGGTAAAATGATTTGCTGGTTTTATTACCTTAGCATGAATCATTTGATCATTTGTATTCATTTGCACAGTGATACATCATTACAAAGGCAATATTACTGTTATAAATGTCACAACAAAGAAGTAACTCCGTACAGTTTGGTTTATTTTCACCACTTTTATTGTTTTTTTCTTTTACAGGACTGGTGTTCTCCATCCCTCTTCTGTCCCAGAGACTGATAGAACTGTATACAGAATGTATTTTTGTGATCCTTGTCAGCAGCAAAGCATTTTATTTGCTAACAAAAAGGTCCATCTTGATTTGTGTTTGAACAACGAGGAACAGATTCATAAATCACACAATGACTCAAATCATTTGTCTTCTGGGTTCTGATAAAACTGTTTCAGTTCCTGGCAGGGAGTTTTATCTTGAAATGCTGTCCAAACTTTGAACACATCTGAAGCAGTTGGAGCTGGTGAACCCCCCTCCCCCCATCTGAACAAATTCA